CACTGGTAAAACCATAGCCTTGACTAGACGGACCTTTGTTGGCAAAGTAATGTCTCTGCTTTTTAATATGCTGTCTAGGTTGGTCATAACTTTCCTTCCAAGGAGTAAGTGTCTTTTAATTTCATGGCTGCAATCACCATCTGCAGTGATTTTGGAGCCCAAAAAAATAAAGTCTGACTCTGTTTCCCTATCAGTTATCAAATCCTGCTAAACAATCCTCCACCAGCTCAAATTTAGGCCCTGTCATCTCTCACTTGAACTCTGATGGTGGCTTTTTACCCAGCTGTCCTGCTTCCAGTCTGGTCCCATCAGGCTCATCTCCATGAAGGTGACACAGAGTGTGCCCTGCCACTGCCTGGATTCCAACTTCTTAATAATTTTTTTATCACATACATAATGACATCCAAGCCCTGCAGCTTAACATACAAAGGCTTTCATGAGCAAACTTTATGTTTTAGTTATATTAAGCCAATTGTTTGTATATCAGATTATTATAGAATTGTTAATGGGTTCATTTTAAAATATTAAATCATGACTTCATATTAATATAAAATGAACAAATATCAGAGAACTAATTTTGCTGACTACCTGAGAAACATATATTGGTTTCAGCTGATTAAAAGAAAAAGTCCAAGAGCAGATATATATAGAGGCAACATATAGAGTATTAACATGAATTTGTTTCATAGATGCAAAATTGGCTTCTTTTGTGGTGAAAAGGAAATCAATTATACTCCCATTGGGGAAAAAATCCTTCTCATGTCTGCGACCAACAGTCATTTGCAGTTACATTCACTAAATTGCTTACAGTATATGAAAGAGAACCCCACAGTTTCCCCTAGTATTAATCTCTGACTTTAGTGTGGGGCATTTGCTATAATTACTACCTTATACCCCTGACAACCACTGATCTTTTTACTGTCTCCACAGCTTTGCCTTTTCCAGATGTCCTATAGTTAGAATCATGCAGTACCTAGGCTTTTCAGATTGACTTCTTTCAATTAGTGATATGAATTTGTCTCCTCTGTCTTCTCATGGGCTTAATAACTCATTTCTTTTTATCTCTGAATAATATTCCATTTTAGGGTGTAACAGTTTATTCATACATTTGTCTTGAAAGACATCTTGGCTGCTTCTAGTTTTTAACAATTATGGATAAAGATGCTATAAACATTCAGGTACAGGTTTTTGTGTGACATAAAATTTCAGCTCAGTTGGCAGTGAGATTGCTAAATTATATGGTAAAATTATCTTTAGTTTTATAGGAAACTATGAAGTTGTCATCTAAAGGTTGCACCATTTTGTTTTCCCATCAGCAATGGATGAAAGTTTCTCTGCAACCTTGCCAGTGTTGTCAATTTTCTGGATTTTTAGTCCTTGTAATAGGTGTGAAGTAGTATCTCATCGTTTTTTAATTTGCAGTACCCTAGCAACAAATGGTGTTGAGAATCATTTCACGAGTTTATTTGCCATCTGTATGTCTTCTTTCATGAGGTGCCTGTTCAGATCCCCTCCCCCCATTTTTTTCCTTTCACAATCAAGATTTTATCAGTTGTTTTGAGGATCAGTATACAGACTTTATGGACAATTTGACAGCAATTCTTAGTGCACATACCAAAAAAAAATAAAAGCCATGTGATTTTTAATTCATTTCTAAATAGAGTTCCAGTGACTTTTCAGCTTAAGATTTGCAGACAAGAATTCCATAAAAAGATATCAAATAAAAATATCTTCAAGGATTAATAAACTGTTACACTGCAAGTCTCAGTAGTTTACGTTATAAGACCATACAACTTACATACTCAAATTTTCCATTTTTCACAGTACAGTAACAACATGATTAGGAAAAGTAGACTATCATGACCAACTGTGCTAAAACATGCACGTAGTCTGAGAGCAAGGGAGAGACAAGATCAGGGAGCAATTTTCTTGAAGAAACAACTCTGCTAAAAATAACAATGGAGTAGAAGTAATTTCAGATGTTCAACATCGAGGCACCACTGCAGATCGGCAGTGGCTTTCACAGCTGGTTAGTGGCCCTGGGGACACCCCAGGCCTCCACGGCTCCTTTCTCCTCACAGAAGAAGTTGTGACTCACCTCCTCTGCACCACTGTTTCTACCGCTCCTGCTGCTGCTTGTAAATGGGTTCTTCTACTGTCTGTCTCATGTTTGGAAGCCCTGAAAGAAGGTATGATTGCTTCAGCTAGTTCCCATCAACCAGATGCATTGAATTGCCTGAGACGCCTGACCTATTAGGTTACAGGCCAGCCCACAACTGGCTCTGGGAAAGGGAACCACCACGGTCCACTTACCAATGACCAGGTGCTGAATTCCTAGGATAGGGTGCCCTGACTCTGAGAAGGGGGCACAGTGCTTAAACAGGCTAGTTTGGGATTTGGGGGCAAAGTTAGTCAGGTTTCCTCCAGGGGCAACCTCTCCCCATCACCATCCCTGTTAACGAATACGCCTCCGAAACACTAACATCTGAATAAAGGAATCCGTAAAGGAGAGGGCTGTCTGATAAATGTGAGTTTCTGGTTTGAGGGCCTGTGCCTCCCTTAAAGGCCACAGCCCATCCCAGGATCCCTTACTCCAACAGAGCAAAGAGATTCAAGCGGTTATCCTCCCACTCTTTATCATGATGATGTGTGGACGTTGTAACTTGAAAAGGAGCTATCAGTGGGATCAAGAGTAAAAAAGGAGTACACTTTGGGTCTATTCATTCTGGGCATGGAATTCTTGCTGTTCTGCATTCTACATTCCATTTCTAAAATTCACTTAGCCATGATTTTATAAATATACATGCTTTATCTCAACAAGTATTTGTACAGACTTTATCTTTGCATAAGTTCAGCTGCAAGACCTCATGCGATGTTTAGGTACAATTATGTACCTAAACTGATGAGAAAAAATTAGTTCAATGTGTCACAAAATTTGAACCACTATGGTCTGGAAGGTCTCAGGGTAAAGTGGTGCTGTAGTGGCCTCCTCAAGTTATTTCTAATAGTTTGTGTGGATTTTGTTTTGGGCATTTGTTGGTTTTCTTGTGTGTGTGTGGCTCAGAAATGATCTCTGACAATCATGCAATGTGAGCTGTAGTCTGTAGGTGGATGTTAGTATCAAGGNATGTACCTAAACTGATGAGAAAAAATTAGTTCAATGTGTCACAAAATTTGAACCACTATGGTCTGGAAGGTCTCAGGGTAAAGTGGTGCTGTAGTGGCCTCCTCAAGTTATTTCTAATAGTTTGTGTGGATTTTGTTTTGGGCATTTGTTGGTTTTCTTGTGTGTGTGTGGCTCAGAAATGATCTCTGACAATCATGCAATGTGAGCTGTAGTCTGTAGGTGGATGTTAGTATCAAGGATGAGTTGGATGCAATCTCATTTTGGGTGTCTCATTTAAATAAGCCGTGTTTCCCCCAAACAGAGATGCAGCCTTGTCTCTAGAGCAAATGACATTTTCCATGAATTGGAGCTAGCTTTGTGCCTCTAAGAAGTCTTTAGAAATACTCACCAGCTGCTTCTAGTTTCTTGAAGGACACATTGTCTGTGGAATAATTAACACAATCCTTCCTTCCTCCACCTGCAGTTGTGAGGAACATCCCCCATGGGGTCTGAAGCAAGATTCTTTAAGGGGAGGAAAAAAAAAAAAGGATGTCAGCCAAGTTTGTTCTGATCATGTTTCCCCCTTTTCTTTGTGTGTGTTTTAAAACTCACTTCAATCTTAGGTCACAGTATTTCATTGTTGCCACTGCCCAGATCTTTCTAATCTCCATCCGTGGGCTTCTGCTTCCCAATAGAAACCACGGGGGCAAGTGTAATTAAAGTGCAGTGAGATCTGCATTTCATATGAGCTCAGTCCATTTGAGTTCTCACAATATTGGGGGAATGAATAAATCATGGTCTTCAAGTTGCGAACAGCTACAACACAGAGTCTCAGGAGAGACAGTAACTAGGATTCAAAATGCTCTGAGCTATTTTTGGCAGCTAAGCTATTGCTTTAAAGACTCATTACAAACCTGGATATCATTCTCTTTCGGACATTTTGAAATGGTCCTGAAAAGTTCATCTTAGAGGTGGAGGAGTTTTATTAAATTTCCTTACCCTTCATGCAAAAGCAATCCACTTTTTCCTCAAGAGAAGGGTACTTAGAAAAACGTACCCTTCATCGGTGCCCGGTAACATGCAGGAATGCCACCGTTAGTAATTTATTATAAATCGGTAATTCATTGTTCTGACTTTCATCTAAGGGACCTGTCACGGAGGAGAGGTGGACGGTGAGTAGTTTTCTATGGGTCACCCTAGGGTTATTTGTCTTTAGCCCTAGAGTCATCAACGAGTTTCTGTCAAAACCCAAAACAAACATGTTTCTGGCAATCAGGCACTTTGGGCACCTTGTCCAACCCCTCTGACTGAAATGACTACATTGCTGAGTAAGTATTACATTTTGCCTTTTAAATGCATTGATGGATGGAACTGTTAGGTAGTTAGAACAGGGAAAAGGAGTCCAAAATGGCAGTGGCTAAAAGACGAGGCAGGGAAAAGCCCGTGAAAATAGAACAGAGGAAGGTCAAAGGAAGGTCCGAGGACCGGAGTGAGGACTTCAGGTAGAATAGCGCCCCTGCCTAAGCCCAATTTGCATAGGACAGGCCCCGGGGGAAGAAAAACAATAAAAAAGGGGCCAACGGCCCGCACTCTGTCTCTCTCCCTCTCTCCCGCTCCCGCGCGCTGGGGTGCTCTTCTCTTCACGTCTTTGTATCGATGTGCCCTCACGCCTCGAAGATCGATTTTCCTGCTATCTCCGAAATAAAATAGAGCTGTAACACTGAGCCGTAACACTGATTTGTCTAACAGCTGTAACATGGTCTGAGCGAGACGTGAGAGCTGTGACACGCCGAGGGGGCTTTAATGTCCGTCACTCCAAATCTTTGTTGTGACGAGACAAAAACCAAGAAGCACACACTCGCCTGACAGAACCGAAGTAAGAAATCCACAGAGACTCAAAACAAAGCTCGATTTCATTTTGAAGTTTTCTGTTGAAAATGATTGAGCTTCTTTATTGATGAGCACATAGATGTGAGGCCAGATGAAAATCCTGGTGACCACACCTAGAGAGAAATCTGCATAAGATTGGGACCCCCAAAGGCCTGTGATTATAACCTTTAGGGTGAACCAGAAATAAATCCTAATAAATAAATCCTAAAAGGTAAAGCAAGGAAACTTACTTGTCCAGGCAGAGCTGGAAAATGAAAGACACTCTCTTGGAAATATATAACTTTAAGATATTATACAAGTTTTCTTACTAAATTCAAATAAGCCCTGTAGTCATTAAAAACCATAAGTAGATAATTTTATTAAGGTGGTCCCAGGTTGGTAGGACCCTCAGCCTACTGTGAAAATGAAATGTAAATCCTCTTTGATGGGATTAACATCAGCTGAGCACTCAAAGAATTTCCAGACATAATGGTTCAAGGAAATAAGCTGCTCATAGCAAAAATCACAAAATCTACAAGAAATAAGGTGTTATGTGTGAAGACCAGCTGCAAAAAGAAACAGAAGAAAAAAAACTACTCAAAGAAAACTTGAAATACAAGTTAACAACAACAGATCACACAAAATGACTATGAAGGTTTTTTTGTTTGTTTTTTAAAAGAACACTCAAAATTAAAAAGCAATAAGTGAAATGAAAGGATTAACCAGCAGATTAGATATGGCTAAAGAGAAACTTAGTGAACTTGAAAATAGATCAAAGACACTTTCCAGAATGCAGCTTAGTGAGGAAAAGGAAGTAAAATTTGGAAGAGGAGATGGAAATAGGAAGGCTAAACTAATAGGGTGTAACATGTCTTAACAGAGAGTTAGCATGAGAGACAGGCAATTAGGCCATATTTTTAAAAATTGTGGATGAAAATTTTTCCAGTATTGTAGAAGGACACCAATTTTCAATTGAAGGAAACTCATGAATTCTAAAATGGAATGGAAGCAAATGGGAGGCCTGTTATACAAGGGAAAATGGTAAAGAAAATGATGAATATGTAGGTAAATCTAGTGTATGTTTATAATACAAAATAATATTAATAAGACTTGATTTATAGGTCAAAAACAGTGGTGTATTAAAGTTCTGAACAACATGAAGTGTAATTTGGAAGAATGTTGGTTGTTACTAAAGTTTTTAAAAATCCTTGTATTATTCAAGAGGAGGTTAAAGATGCTGTTTAATTTTAGTCTTCATAAGTTATGCACATGTATTTGAAGATCTAGGGCAGCTATCATAAGACAAGAAACCATTCTAAAAAAAAACACAGAAATGGTAAAAGGCTATTTATTGCAGTACTATATATAAAAGCAAAAGATTAAAAACAACCCGTCAGGGGGTGACTGGTTGAAGTCACCATCAGTGTTGACTGGTTAAATAAACTATGATACATTCATGCAGTGGACTTCTATTTAAAAAATATAATTTCCAAATTAAGTAGACAGGGGAAAAAAAAAGAATGAGGGGGTAGAAAATCCTTCATCATTCCAAAAGAAGGCAAAAATTTTTTAAAAGATGAAGGAAAATATAAACAGGAAAAAGCAGGCTAATAAAAGCACATAAAATATTATAGTAATGACTCCAAGTCTAGTATATCAGTAACTATAATAAACGAAAAATGATTAAACTCTACAGTGGGAAGCAGAGAGTATGAGACTGAGTTAAAAGAACTTTATGCATATACTGATTATAAGAGGTATACCTAAAACACAAGGATTTAAATGTTTCATAGTCTGTGGCTGAAAAAGCATGAACCAGGTAAACATTAACCCTCCAAAAGCTGACAAGTAGACTTTAAAAAAATAAGTTTTGCTACAGATTTATTAGTGTTAAAGATGAAAGTTTCGACACTTAAGAATGAATTTGTAGGAAATTCATATTTAACTTCAAAATACCTAAATCAAACATTGACTTACCTGAAAGAACAAATATAAAAATTCATCCTAACAAAGTGAAAGTGGCTCAGTTGTGTCCTACTCTTTGTGACCCCATGGACTACAGAGTCCATGGAATTCTCCAGGCCAGAATACTGGCACAGATAGCCTTTCCCCCTTTCCAGGTGATCTTTCCAGAAGAAGGGATCAAACCCAGGTCTCCCGCATTGCAGGTGGAGTCTCCACCAGCTGCGCCACAAGAGAAGCCCCTTAACAATGGGAGATTTTAATATTTCTCTCTGTAGATCATCATAATTGATAAGCTATAATTGATATACTAAGCAAATCAAATACTAATAAGTATGTAGATAAAGAAAAAAGTGGCAATGTTAGTCGTTCAATCGTGTCTGACTCTTTGTGACCCCATGGACTATAGCCCACCAGGCTCCTCTGTCCATGGAATTCTCTAGGCAAGAATACTGGGATGGTTAGTCATTCTCTTTTCCAGGGAATCTTCCTGGCCCAGGGATTGAACCCAGGTCTCCTACATTGCACGCAGATTCTTTACTGTCTGAGCCATCAGGGAAGCTGATATAAATAATACATAATATATTATATCTCAAAATTATTGAAAATACATCTTTTTCAAGCACATATAGAATGCCTTCACAAAATTTTACCACTTTTCTAGGTTATAAAGCTACCTCCATCAAATTTAGAAGGGTTGACATCAGACAGTATGCTAAAGAACAGTAATAACAGTAGTACAACAAGAAATCTATAGAAAATTGTACATTTAGACATTAAAAATAGACTTCCAATGACTCATTGGTCTCAGAAGAGTTATAATGGAAATAAGGAATATTTAGACAAAACAAATAATGAAAATGCCCTGTACCAAATTTGTGGGACTGCCAAAATAGTACTCTATTAGGGGCTTCCCTGGTAGCTCAGACAGTAAAGCGTCTGCCTATGATGTGGGAGACCAGGGTTCGATCCCTGGGTCAGGAAGACCCCCTAGAGAAGGAAATAGTAACCCACTCCAGTACTCTTGCCTGGAAAATCCCATGGACCGAGGGAGCCTGGTAGGCTACAGTCCATGGGGTTGCAAAGAGTCGGACACGACTGAGCAACTTCACTTCACTTCACTTCAGCTTAGGTGTTAACAACAACAAAGGAAGTATCTAAAATAATGGGATTAACATTCAACTTAACTTCAAGAACACAGAATTAATCCAGAGAAAGTAGAAGGAAGGAATGATAAAGGAGAGGGTAACAATAAAGTAAACAAACTTGCTTTAGGATCAACAAAATCAAACATTAGCCCTTTGAAAAGATTAAATGCACAGAAAACCTTGTTGAGATTTACTAAGAGAAAGAGAGAACAAAGTCCTGAGGGAAAAGAGAAGGGGATTCCTGTTGCTGAAATAAAATAGACAAGAAAATGTGATTAACACCTTTATGACAATATTTTTTTAAAAAACCAATGAATTGGGTAAATTCCTTTAAAATGCAGTTTATCAAAAAGAATTAGAAAAGATGAACAGTCTTTTTTTTTATGAACAGTCTTAAAATGATTAAGATGATTGGATCAGTACCTTAAAGATAGTCAAAGAAAACACCAGTCCCAGTTGACTTCACCACCAGTTTTACCAAATATTCAGGAATACTTATTTAAACTGCCATATAATATAAAGAGGGAAAAAATCCCCAATTC